GCCGTCTATTAACCAATTTTTTGGAAATTATTTTTTTGATAATTGAACGATGTTATAGGTATATATAACATGCATATCTCTATTCCAATCTTTTAAGTCCTCATACCATTTCGGAAATTGAAATTAAAAATTTAACCTTCCCCCTCCAAACTCATTTTTTTCTAGCCTCTAGCCCATCATATGATATTTATCTGAATAAAACCCAATGATTAGGATCCAACTAAGCAACTTACTAAATTAACTTTGTGTGTCCGTATTTATATTTTTTGGATCCCTAATATACCCCATCTACGCCAGTATGGAAAGTTCTTGTAATTTTGTTTTAATTGATCATGTGTGTGACATCCCACATCGCCCAGGGGAGTGATCCTTATATGTATATTCTCATCTCTACCTAGCACGAGGCCTTTTGGGAGCTCACTGGCTTCGGGTTCCATGAGAACTCCGAAGTTAAGCGAGTAGTGCACGAGAGCACTCCCATGATGGGTGACCCACTGGGAAGTTCTCGTGTGAGTTCCCAGAAACAAAATCATGAGGGTGTGCTGGGGGCCCAAAGTAGACAATATTGTGCTACGGTGCGCCCTCCATGAGAACTCCGAAGTTAAGCGAGTAGTGCGTGAGAGCACTCCCATGATGGGTGCCACTGGGAAGTTCTCGTGTGAGTTCCCAGAAACAAAACCGTGAGGGTGTGCTGGGGGCCCAAAGCAGACAATATTGTGCTACGGTGCGCCCGGGCCAGTGAGCTCCCAAAAGGCCTCGTACTAGGTAGAGATGAGAATATACGTATAAGGATCACTCCCCTGGACGATGTGGGATGTCACAACGTGCATTGAATTTGGCAAGATCTTGTAGCCATGAAATATGGTTCTAGATGGAGGAATTAATTTGGAAATTTTTTTAATTTCGACAATAAATGTCAATTTGTATATACCTAATTTAGTGTTTATTTTCAACAATATCTATTGTTTAATTTTATGAAAATAATTTACCTACTATGAAAATTAATTTAATGAAAACAATATCTATTGTTTAATTTTATACCTACAGTATAATTACATGAAAATAGTTTACCAACTATGAAAATTAATTTTTTGAAAACAATATCTATTGTTTAATTTTATTAAAATAATTTACCTACCGTATAATTACACGAAAAAATTTACGTACTATGAAAATTAATTTTTTGAAAACAATATCTATTGTTTAATTTTATGAAAATAATTTACCTACTATATAATTACATGAAAATTAATGTGCCTACTTTTTGAACTTGTAACAAAATTAATTTACCTACTTCTTTTTATGGTATTAGTATACATAAATGTAGAATATATGTCCATATATATTTGATCTAATTAGGTTTTGGATTGGAGTTGTTCACACAAAATTAAAAATATATTAAACAAAATAAATGTCTAAAAGAAACGTATAAGAGATTTGGTGGCATGATTTTGTAAATAAACACAAATTTACGTACATCTTTTATCCAACATGACATTATATTTAAAATTTGAGTTTTATTCAGAAGTTATAATATATGTGGGTTGTTGTTTAGAATTTGCAATGATTTAAATCTAAGGAGCCCAAATTGAAATAATAGTATACGGACGATATTTTTAGCTATTACCAATGAAAGTAATATAATATATCTTCTAAGAACTGATTGGGTTACTAACAAAGAACTTCACACACACACACACACACACAAAGAACTGATTGGGTTACTAACAAAGAACTTCTCACACACACACACACACACTCTCTCTCACACACACACACACACACAGGCAGAGAGCACATACTTTGTGTGTGTGAACAATTTCTCTTAATAAGTGCATACTTTTTTTAATATTACATAATTATTGTTTTGTCCTCCTTATGTAAATATTTTGTATCAAAAGTGAGGGTAAAATTGAAAAAATAAGTATAAAAAAGAGGGTAAAATAGAAAAAATAGGGATATGGTTGTCATTTTGTCAAAAGGTACAAAATTACTATTTTGCCCTCCTTTTTATCAATAGTGTGTATTAAAAATGAGGGTAAAATAAGAAAAGAAAAAAGTGGCAAAAAGTTGACAATGGGGGTCCTCTTAATAATAGTATGTATGTATGTATGTATGTATGTGTATATATATATATATATATATAAAGATATGTGTGTGTGTGTGTGTGTGTGTGTGAATGTTAAACAGAAGGTGCAGCATAAATAAGAACTTACATTTCCCAGTAATTAAGTATTTCTCTTACAAAAAGGTCAGAAGGATATATGAACTTCACCTTGACGGTCTTCGTGTGTATAATAAGAACTTTTGCGAGCATATACTGCGAAGAACCTCAAGTATTTTGCCAAGCTCATTTTTCCGAGGCTCTAAACAAATCTCAACTTTTTCCAAACTCTCAAATTTTCCCAGATTTTGGCTACTTAATGGGCCGTCCCATTTCAGATTTTTAAGATTTGGAGCAAAAATCTTCAACGATGTGCTACTTTTCATGCTTGTTGGTACAAACCAAACCATTCCATAGCATATATATATTTTCAAGTTTCTCACAGGATATACTGAGATGGACGCCACCATGATTGATAAAAGAAAAGGATTCCGAAGACGAACTTTCGATGGAGATATCTTGTATGTCTTTGATAGATCTAAGATGTAACTCCTTGAGGCATTTGCAACAGCATGAGATCCATTTGAAAAGACTCTCATCTACTATTTTAACATAACACAACGATAGGTAACGGAGATTACTAGAAAAGGATAGAGATGGCCCTTCAACCACGTCTGAATTGATTATACCCAAGGAGACGGATAGAGAGCTAATGCAAGATGAAAGATGGCAACGAAAACTTACTAATAACACAGTGATCGAAATCGAGATCAAGATCTTCAACATTACACGATCCACTTGAGTAATAGTCGAGAATAATCATCACAATATTTCTTCTCGTTTTTTCTTGTAGAGAAACTCAAGTGGATGCGGATTCATTGCATGTTATGTCCACGAAAATGCAAGTATCTATCAAAAGAACTCATCAGGCTCGCTAGATGCGATTTGGTTTGTTCTTCGTTGTGATCTGTACAAAAATCCAATATCGGAACTGATAGATGAAATTGTCTGCATCTTTTGGACAGAGCACCGACCTGAATGAGGTATTTGAAATCAACGAAGGAAAGAATATGATGAGCAACTTCCTCTGGAAGATCACTAAATCTGTCTATTCCACCCTCAGAAGAAGTTCCTTCACAGTGACAACCTGCCGGGAACTGATGCTTCTTAAATTTCAGGTTGACGGGCCATGGGTCCACTTCAACAACACCAATACTGTCCCCACTTGGCCACCTGCTCAATTCGTCAAGTGTGGGGTTTTAATATAAAAGGCCTCGGTTTTATTAGAGTGGGTTAATTATATTTAAAGGGCTTGTTCTCAAGCTCTGTGGGCGATATGGGACAGAGGAATTCTAACACTCCCCTAGACGTGAGACCCTATTTTATGGGTCACACGTGGAGTTCCACATATCGGCAAGCACATGGAGCCAAGCCGGGGCTCACCCCTTCGCGCTGGGCCAATGCACGTGGCAGCTTTTAGCCCACGTGGAGCACGGACCCGTCCCTAGCTCTGACACCATCTTAAATTTCACGTAGACGGGCCATGAGCCCACTCCAACAACACCGATACTGTCCCCACTTAATCACCTGCTCAATCTGTCATGTGTGCGATTTTAATACAAAAAGTCTCGATTTTAGTTAGAGTGAGGTAATTCTATTTAAAAGGTTTGTTCTCAAGCTTTGTGGCTGACTGATAATGCACCCCATGATAGTGTTTGTTGAAAGTGGACGTCGGATCTTCTAAAAAAAAATCCTTTCCTGCAACCAACTATTGCAACAATATATCAAAACTATACCCTCAAGAAACTTTTGCAGCTAAACAGGATGCACTTTCCAGGCACTACCACAATCAACTAAATTTTAGAAAACCCCAAGCGAAAACAACAAGCCCACCAGTTTTTCCGAAAAGCAAAGTGTACAAATATACAGAAATCCAAATTGAAATCAGAGTTTTTGAAATATAAAATCGCATATTCTGCAAACAAATCACTTACAGATGGTGGCTGAATCAATTCTTCTTCGGCAATGAAGTCTCATGGGAAGAGTATGTAGATTAGAGTAATTCGAAATTTTGGTTTTGAAAAGTCTATCAATTTTAGAGATATTGATTTCTCTCTGTTTGCCTTCATTTATACTAAAGAGAGAGAAAAACTTGTTGTCCATGTAATACAAAAATAGAAAATAATCACCATCGTAAAGAGTAAACCAAATCTACTAAGGATTTACAATCACACTAATACTAGGATTTATGTTACAACATTCCTCTTGAGTTTAATGATTTTCAGTTGTCTCATCTCCTTTCTTAATTTGGTTGATGCATGCTGCTTTATCTTCATAAATGGTTTTAGCGGCTGAATCACTTCTTCTTCGGCAATGGATTCGTTAATGAGCAGTGCCTGCCCTTTTTCTAGATGCGAAAAGACGTAATTAACTCTCTAAGCATTTGTATGTGATCTGCAAAGCAAGAACATCAAATTACTATGCCGCCACCACCGACAATCGTTAGCGTACCAAACCACTCTGAAAATTTTCTCGAAAATTTGTGAAGATGCCCTTGAGAATAGACTCGAGAATCTAAGGGTATATTCAGTTTAACTAAGAACATCAAATTACTATGTTTCTTGTTTCCCTTTGTCCTTGCTTGCAATCTAAGTTATCATCTTAAGATACTTTCCTAGTCTAATATTGGTCAATTCCCCTTTTCTATTTGTAATTACGATCTTAATTATGTTTCCCGTTCAATTATAATCTTCCTGTTTCGTTGATTTCTGTTTACTATTTAAAGGGTGTATTGGTTAAAGCTTTCAGTTATATTCTCAACGATTTCAACACTCCGAGAAACAAAGAAACTTTCTTGCGTTCTCTCTCCCTCTCCCCTTCACGCAATCAAAGAAAGATGAGTAAGAAGCAACAAGTCATGGAGATCCCTCCACGTTGTGTCCTCCTAGCCAATATCTGTTCTACAGGCTGTATCAAGCAGATAAACAAATTATTTGAGAAAATCGACCGCAAGCATGCTACCCGTACCACCATTGATCCACAACTAGATAAAGGAAACGCAGTTGTGATCGTGACGGGCAACATCGATACGGCCATACTCTTCAAGAAGCTTAAAACGATTAACAAAATTCCAAAGCTTATAGAAGCAGTTCACGAGGACAAAGATTGGAGTTCAAACTCTACCGACGTCAAACCACCTAATCCCAGTAACAACAACAATGATAACAAAGACGTAGCGCCTGTGATTGAGAAAAAGCCGAAGAAGAATGAAGGCAGTGAAAAAAAGGAAGAGAAGAATAAAGGCAAAGAAATTGAAGAGAGAAAAAACAAGGTCCAAGAGGAGCAACGGGCACCTGTGGGCACCATGCATAATCATCTGCCGGGTCCGGTGGGTGGTGAGACGACATATGGTTCAGAAGAGGCAAAGATGCATGGTAGATTTGGCTACCCTCCTCCCCGACAACACTACAGTTCTATCTTTGACGAAGAGAACCCTAATGGTTGCAGCATGATGTGAAATTTTTGAAATTTCAATTTATGTTTGGTCTTCAAGGGTGAAACTAGAATTTAATGATGTTTTTTCTTTTGATATTCTAGGAGTTTTGCATTTTTAAATAAATATTTTCGATCTTGCTATTCCCAAGATTTCAAACTTTGTGGTTCCATCCTGAAAGTTATTTGCACATGATTCTTTAGCAAACTTAATTGGGGAAATAACTCTTCTTTCTTTCTAAGTTATAAATTATAACAAAAGAATTCAGCTTACGAAGACACTTCTTTGAGAATCCTAACTGCATATTATAGTACAATAGTACGACTAATTTGGAAAATTACAAAACCAAATGCGAATATTCGGTAGACTATCTCGAATACCACCTTAAGAGTGATTCAAATCGTACCTCAAAGTTGTTTTATATTTATATTTCTACTCTAGCATAATTGTACCTCGAACTTGTATTCATGTTGAGTTTGTAATTGTGATGTTATGGTATTTTTTAGCATGTCTGACCTTATTACATTTGGCATGCCTATTCTATGTACGTTCTTCATCATTCTTACTAAAAATTTTACTTCCAAAAAATTGACTCCAATAATGCCGTATCAATTTCAAAGCTTAGGAATCGCATAGAAAAAACGACAAAATAAATTAGATTAGTTCTCAGTTTATGTGTCATCCTTGCGGATGGGCCATTCTAATCTTCGCTGTATTGATATAATATTATCGAATGTTCTAATCTACGACGTTGGACTTGTGTATTTTCTTAGTCAGTTAAGCAGAGTTTGGTTCATTCTTTTTATTGTCAAGCCGAGCCCAACTCTCTCACATTGACTCACTCACTCGCGTTCTTTAGTACATCTGACCTAATAAAAAAATCAAAACGTTAAAAAAAAAAAAAAAAAAAAAAAAGCCACACACACACACACACGCACAAAAACATCTTCATCTCACAAAGTTTGAGCTTTCAAAAAACTACTTAAATCTTAATTAGCCCAAGACTCACAACTGAAGCGTTATGATGTATCTCTCTTATCACGCAACTCAATCACTTGATAAGAGTGACATACTCGTTATTCTACAAGATCGGTAATATGACAGATTTTCTCCTCTTACAAGGCTATACAATGGTCAATGGAACTGTACTCCAAGCAGACGGTGGTTTCGGCTTGAGAACGGTAGAAATTATGGAAGAGAGTAATCTAGTAATACAGCTACAAAATTGGTGACCTAGATTTCCAACATTTCCAGGCAGACCAAGCAAAAACGAAACACCCACAAAAATAATACATTATAGTTTTACAAACCAATTCACTCCAGACACAAAATGTAATCCATACTGTACAATGCTCCCTCCAAATGTACTTTCTGGCACCCGCACTTCAACTGCAGCAGTCTATTTCAATCCTGTGTAATCGGATGAAGATATGCGAATATTAAAGGCAGCTTTTAGTTCATTTGAATAGAAAGTAAAAGACAGAGATGTGGCGAATAAATGACAGACTCAAAAAATAATCCGAAAGATCACACGTGACATTATTCTCAAATCATCAGATGAGTTTACTCACTAGACCAGTTAGTTGTAGCTTACCTGATTTGTTCATGCTGCCAATTTCAGGTCGACTGTTCCTGATGCATTGCCCTCTCCTGTAAGAACTTGGTCTCGATCCTGGAAAAGAAAATCATTCGCTGGTTAAATTAAAAAGCAAATGAGGTAGGGGTAAAGTTAGTAAATCCTGAAAATTACCTCCATTCCCCATTTGATGTAATCTGGGGACTCACAGGCCTTATATTCATCAACCAAACTCTCAAGTATTTCTCTTGATTCGTCAAACTCCGAAAGATCATTGTCCTGTCCACGTTTCATGTCATGGTTATGAGACCCACATATTACAGACATTCCATAAAGTTGGAACTCCATAAAAGGTTTTTCATCTATCACCATTGATGCCAACGAACAAAAAGGAAAGAATGAAAGAAAAAGCACGCTTCTTCACAAATTAGCTGACTACATGGAGTATGCATATGACAATATTGCTGAAGCAGGTCAATATGCAAACCACATCTGGAAGTAAAACTGACGGTTGTAGGGCTGGCAACTTACAGCAAACATTGGAAACTTCCGATAGTTGTCAAGAAAGGCTTGCTTCTTCCGTAACAAAGAGTACTGGCTCAGACACTTACTGAAGAGGTGGCGAATACTAGTATGGCTTGCCAGCATAAGACCACTGACCTAAAAAGAAGAAACATAAACAGATCCATTATAAAAAATAGGTCATTACTTTTAATAAAAACATATGAGTCCAAATCCAAAATTGTCGATCAGATAATATAAAAATGGGACAATAGAGAGAAGCTATGATAAGAATTAGATCCCCACCCTATGAGCAGTCTGCACATATGGAGATTTTCTAGACAAAGCAACCTACACAGAAAAGAAGGAAGTGAAAGATTAGATATCCAGACAGTTTTAAAGTAACTAGATTCATCTCATTTAATTTATTTTACTTCATAGAAACACCTGAATGCTTGCGGGGCCCCATTCAATAAAGTTAACAAGCTTTCTTTCACGTATCCTCTGCAAGCTTTCATGAACCTGATTGCAGAGAAATAGGCGCAAATAAACCACTTTAAAAGCAGAAGAAAATATTAGAGGAGGAACCGAGGTGCTTAACATCCAATGGTCAGAAAGAATTCATTTCCAAAAAACTTCAAGACAATACTAAAAGTTAAGAAAATAGGGCCAAGACTAGCAGTTATATAGGATAATCATTTTACATCAATTCCATTCAACTTTCTGAATGTAAAATATGATTATTGAATAAGTATTGCTTATTTTCATCAATATAAAACTGTAAGATTGCCTTGCACATCGCACTATTAATATGGTTATCAAACAACCTGAGTAGGTTCCATTTCTCCTTGGATGATGTTTAAAATTGAAATGTATTTTGCTTGACTAGCTTCTTTTGTTCGAGCATACGAGGAAACCATGATGTTTTTCGTCTGCAAAGAAAGACCAACGTCAGAGAATTGCTGATTCTGCTTTTTTAAAATAAAAAAAAGGTCAGACTTTAACCTGCAGAAGTCTTCTCATAACATCAAGTACAGTGGTTTTGCGAATCACATTAGCCTGCCAAGAGGAGATATACATGCATTAGAAAGCTAAATTGCTAGTTTAGAAGCATAAAACAAACTAAAAATAAAGATTTAAAGTTTGTGACATGAGATGCCAGATCATCTCCCACATTTCTCTCTATCAATTCCCCCTCTATTTAGACACTTGCTCAAGCATGTGCCCTCACACACACAAGTGCTAGGATGAATCCATAAATACAAACAGAGACATATATATATTTATAAACTAGTTGCGTCATCGATTACCTGGCACTCAACTGTGAGCGGTGTATATCCTGTCATTAGAAAATGACATCTTGGTGTTGGAATTAAAGACGCAAGCAGACCAACCAAGTCATTGTTCATGTACCCTGGATACCTCAGAGTAGTTGTACTGGCAGACATTACAGTAGAAACCAAAGAATTTGTTTGGGCAAAGGTGGGATTTGTTAGATGAAGGCGCTCAACAGCAATTCTGTTCAATGCAGTGTTGTCAAGGACCACAACACAGTCTGCATTAAGCGTCAGTCGCTTAAGCGTCAAAAGTGAGTTATACGGCTGGACCACGACATCACTTGTTTCCATCTGGTTAGGAAAGACACTGTATGTCTGCACCAGTTTTTTGCTGTATCTATCATTCAATGTCTCCAACAGATAGGAACCCATACCTGCATCGTATATTTTGAGTGGATTAAAGAATTTTCCCAAGCAATAAAGCACTTAAGCAGTCGTGAACAAGAAAGTGTAGCGTTATACTGCGAAGCATGGCACAGTCATTGAAGCAAGATTTTGCCCCAATGGACTTGGACATACTGAGGGTAGCAACTAATTAGATTAATGATTCATCACATTCCTACTAAGTGAAGGTGGTGTTACGTAGCCCCTAGCCTAAATTTTATGACGTTTGAAATAGGCAGGACAATCAAATGTTAAAATTAATACAAATGACCCAGGATTGTTCTAAGTAGGAAGTAATTTGGGAAAACATGTTAAATAAACCATGAAAGGAAAATAAAAACGTTGGGTACGGTTTTAAAAAATGCAAAGAAACCTGAGCCTGTTCCTCCAGCAATTGAATGGCACAGAACAAATCCTTCAAGACTATCACTCCCATCTGCTTCTCTATCAATCATGTCCATTATAGCCTCTTCAACACCCTTTCCCTGATCAGCATTTACAACTATTTCAGTGCATTTATATGGAAGTGAAGCATAAAGTTTTATTACTACAAAATTACTATTAGAGATACTCGAAAGTAACTGCAGAGATTGTAAGTAAACACCTGAGTCTGACTGCAGACAAACCTGATCATATCCACTGGCCCAATTATTTCCTGCACCGCCACCATGTTCTGAAACAAAGATGTTTTCATGATTGTATAAATTCCTGTATTCACTGTTTTGAATCCCATTAATCACTCTGGGCTCCAGATCAATCAACAAAGCTCGTGGAATGTACTGCTGATCATCAGCTTGGTAGAAAAACACATCCTTCCGGTCACCTCCCTGCGGCATTTCAATTTCAAAATATAATTACAGATATCAATGTCAAAGGCAGGACCGAAGGGTATCTTCTGACCAGCAGTTGATAAAGTTTCTACAGTGCCTACTGCCTAATGACCCTTACCATCACAATTCACATAGCCAATGCATAATTCCTCATGGCTATCCAAATTGTCATGTCTAATAGTCCAAAATTAACGTCCATCAATTTCCCATCGTTTCTTAATCAACATTTAGGTGGTAAAAAGGCATGTGTGGGAGGTAAAAATGGGTGTGTGTATAGCAACCCCCAATATTTATCGTAGTGATCGAAATCAATACGACTTAGTCAGGACATGTACCCTTACCATATAATCTCAATTAGACTCAAATTCTCATAGTAATTCTTCATCTGGAAACAAATTTACTCCCTAATTGAGCTTCAATGTCATAAACAATTAGAAATTTGATTTTTTTTTCCACCAATATTTTCTTAGCAATTCCTGGAGAGCTTGCACACATTCAAAACCATAGAATATAGGCGAAATTAAATTCATTAATTTCATCACTGATAACGGACCAAAATCACACTTATACTGAAATTTGGCTTCGTTTCCTCAACTTCAAAATTCCATTTCTTTCTTTCCAAGACCAGCATTTTCTCGGAAAGCAAACATGTAGGAAAGACGCAGAGAGGAAAAGAGAGTAAGAGAGTGGGAGTGGGAGTGGGACCTGAGTGGCAAAGTCCTCGAGAATGCCTTCCTTGCTGATGCCGTGCTCGAGGCAGAGCTGCTTCCAGAACTCCATTCCGATCTGGTTACCGCATTGTCCCACCTGCAACGTGATGATCTCTCGCGGCATTTTCCCTCACTTTCTCGGGAAGACTAGGGTTTCTCAGGAGAGTGTTATCAACTGTTCGCTACTTCACGGTCGCGCCTTTCGTTGGCAATTCATTTTCAATTTAATTTTGTTCCAGTGGCCATTTTTTTGGTCAACTGAAATTCCTAAAATAACCTGTTTTTATTTTCTTTAAATTTTTTTTTCGTAGGAGTACATTGAATTTTTAAAATAATGCTGATATCCCCACTCCTTTATCTTATTTTCCCACTTATATTTTAATAAAAATTTTATTTACAAGTTTACCTCTTAACAAAATGACGAATAAGGACAAGAAGTTGTTCAAAGTGCAATATTTGATTTTTACTGTTCTTACTTTGCTCTCTCAGCTCCGTTTCATCCTCTTTCCCTCACAATATTATCCTCTTTCCCTCACAATATTATCCTCCTTTTTTTTCCCCATCTGATTTTTTTTTTCTTTCTAATTGTTTTCCCCATCTGGGTTGTTTTGTGAAAGCCAAATGAAGTTACTTATGTTAGTGTGCTTTCTTCCTGTGCTAATTTGGATGGGTTGGGATCTATTTATTGGAGAAAGCAAATCCATAGGCATGTTATTTGGAATGAGATTGAATTGAATGCACTTTTTGGGACTGAGTTGGTGGATCTTTACAGGAAGACTGGTTGTTTGGATAGCGCTGGATACGTGTTCCAGCAAATGGTAGTTAAAAAAATGTGTACTTGGAATGCAATGATTTCTGCACTTTCTTTGAGAATGAGGCTTTGGACTTGTTTGAAAAAATGAAGATCGAGAGGTTGCCGTCGAATTGCATTGTGTTGTAAGGGGTTGGGTGGTAGTTGGGTTGAGTGCTTTTTTTAGTTTATTTCTTTCAATTTCTGTAAAATAGTAGAATATGTAAAGGACATTTTAGGAATATAGGTGGGTGGAGAAAGAGTGTTTTAATTTTTTTAACTTTTTTGAGGGCTGGTAATATAAGGTGGGGTGGGCAAATAGGGTTATGGGATGGGTCTAGTAGCTTTTTTTTAAAATGACTGAAGGCGATTTTGATAAAAGTGTTTTTGGGTTTGAAAAACACTTGAAATGCATTTTGGAGAAACACTAGTTACAGAGCTCGTTTAGAAGTTCTTTTAAAATGGCCAAAAACATTTTTTGTGAAAATATTTTTGGAATTAATCCCTAATAAAATGCAAGTAAATCTTGAAAAGTACAAATACAGTGAATCTTGCAAGAAGCACTTTAAGTGCTTTTAGAATCCAAAAACATTTTTGCTAAAAACACTTTCAGTCATTTTAAAAAGACTTCCAAACATATGCTTCTTGCAAAAAGTACTTCAAGTGTTTTTTCCAATATTCACTTGCATTTTTACTAAATATTGATTCCACAAGCACTTTCAAAAACGTTTTGAGTCATTTTAAAAGTATTTTCAAATACACTCATAGTACCAACTTTGTTATTTACACGTGAATATGAATATTAATAGAATAAAGCCAAGTGGTGCTAAAAGATTTCCATTACTCAAAATCATATTACTTAGTGCTATGATCTAGTGATATTAATTTTTTTTTTTTTCACTTATAAGTGAGAGGTCTGAAATTCAACTTTAGTGAATGATGAGTTTCGATAACAATAGGAAAATAATCAAAATCGATTGAGCTATGGCATGCCCTACCTTTATTGAAGAAATAGTGCAAATGATAGTACAAATAGTTGTTAAGTATAGGATTACTCCTGTAATATTGTTTCTGATGGTCCTTTCAAATCCGCCTCTGAACAAGAGCGACAACTAGGCTTTACTCTTCAATAATTCAAAGCAACAAAATTGGTTAGGCTTATAGTTAGAAGTAACAACATTTATTTTATTTTAGGGTTAAGAACAAAAGCCACTTGGTACTATAATTTAGTGATATTTCACCTTACTTGTAAATGAGAGGCCTTAGGTTTGATTTTTGCCAAAGGGAAATTTGAACCAAATTATTATGGCTAGCCCATTTTGAGGCTCAACCCACTCCTCCACCCTTTAGTATAAGTGTGACAACCCGTCCCGAATTATAATATATTTTGTCCTTAATAGCGTGGAAATGACTTTTATGCCCTTGAACGTTGAGTGTGTTGTAAGAAAGAGCTTAGGATTTGGACCAATTCATTTTTCTTCCTAAGTAGTTGGACCCAATTAGAACTTAAGATTTTTTTTGTTTATTTTGTTTGGTTGGCCAACCCTGGACCACACACACCCATTGACCTCTCTCTCTCTCTCTCCCTCTCGAATTTTCTTCCATCACTCTCTCAAACCACTTCATCACTCATAGATCGAGGTTGTGGATCTTATCTCGTGCTTCTTTCAAGCTCAGGAGTCGAACTATAGCTTTGGTTAGACATGAGGACTTTGGAAACTTGAGAACCAAGGAGCTCCGACGAGGTGCGCTATTACTCCGTCATGATCGCGGATGTTTCGTTGAGTTTTAGGGTCCTAGGGAGTCTTAAAACTTCTTCGCGAAGCTCCTAGAAGAATTTTGGACGTCGGGACCCTCGAATTTGTCGAGTTGCAGGGCTGGCTGGACTATCAAGATTTTTCCGGCTAAATTTCGTTAGTTTTAGGACCTAAAAGTGGTAAGGATATGTTCTTTTTGTCCTGAGCTTCACATTGGTACCAATTTATGAATTTTGGTTGAGAATTGAGTAAGTTATTGAAGTTTGAAGTTTTTCCAGAAATCGGCAAGTGTAGCGGCTACTAGCGCTGGAATCTGATGAACCATCGGAGACGAAGGAGAATATTCCGTCAACTTTGACGGAATATGCTAAAGGTGTAAGGTAACACCGTTAGTTTTTAGACGGAATATGCTGTTATTTAACGGAATATTCCTTAACTTAGGGCGCGTGGGAACTTAGAAATTTTTTCTAAAAATATGGGGATGTTCGTAGGGTTGAGTAGGCCACGATGGTATATTCAAATGCCCCAATTGAGCAATGTATAGGAAGTTATTACCTAGTTTTGTATATGTGCTTAAAAATAATGTTAAAATAGTTGTTTCGCATATAGGTAAGACTTTTCCAGAGGACGAGCGCAGTCAAGCAAGACTCGGGGGCTACGACCCTTCCACATATCGGTGAGTGGGCTTTTGGTTTTCAGTACATGTATGTATGTATGTATGTATGTATGTATGTATGTATGTATGTATGTATGTATGTATGTATGTATGCTTGGTAATTTTCCTAGAAAATGTGTTTAAATGGACTTGTGTTTTAAAATGCCATGCCAAATGTTTTATATTTAGAATATGCATTTAGTAGTTGCACATATTTATGTTTGACGCTGCAGACGCTCTGGTAAGTTCCAGGTGAGTTTATAGATTGTGGATGTGAGTTGCATGATTATGCTGAGATGTATCTATAGCTCATAACCTACACCCCGGTGTTAGTGCTCCTGTCCGTGGTCAGGGCACAGTCATTCATGTGATGTTCACCCCCCCACCATATGCTTACCTTGGATCCAAGTTAGGTGCACAGTCCTGTTGTACAGACCACTATAGGTGGTTCTGACTCGTAGGTGACCCGCAATCATTTGTACAGTCTTCACGTGATCGTAGCACTTGAACGTATTTATTTACACCCAATCATGTCCTACAGACCACTTTAGGAGGTTTCAACTCGTGTGCAGGCATACTTGTTAAGCTACTGGTTGAGCCGTACAAGTCACATTAGGTGACTCTAACTGGATGGATGAGCTATAGATTCAGCCATACAGGAAATGTTAGGTGACTTCGGCTGATATGTTACTTGTCGTTGACTTACTTCACGTGGTTTACCTAATTCGTTATGCTGAGATTTTTGGCATGGTATACCTGTGGATTTTGCTATTTTGAACATGGTTGTGATATAGATATGTATTCTAATTTCTGGGAAATTATATAGGTTTTACAGCAAAGGGTTACTACATTTGATAATTGAAATGGTTTTGAAAAGCTTTGTTTTTGCCCACACACATTTTCTGTTTTGCGCCCCTCCAGGTTTTAGGTAGGAATGCTTGTTGGTGGCTTAGGAGGAATTGACGACGGTTCTGAAAGATTATCACTAATGTAGGACCACCTCTGGTATTGTATAATTAGTACTTGTCCTGCTGGACTGCACTTAGGCTACCTATGCTTTGATTATGGTGTATCACACTTAAATATCGAGTTTAGCACTTGATGCGAAAATAGTTAAGCACACAAATTAACCCTCTTGTTGTCAAATTGTAATAAGGATGCAAGTAGGGATCGTTCTGGACCGGGGATTAGGAGGGCTTGCTAAAACCTCTAAACTGACTCAAAAACATAAAAACAAAGTTGAAAACGTTCACAAAGACTCAAAGGACTCAAAACAAGTTCAAAAGACTCAAAACTGCCTAAAAACACTAACTAGGCAGTTTATGACTCTAAACACAATTTTGGACGAATTTAAAATTATAGGTTGATTCAAAACACTTTAAAACACAAACTAAACAGATTCTAAACACTATAAAACAAGAAAGTAAAGGGGGGTTTTGATTTGACGAAAATTGAAATAACAAAACAAGTTATAAAACTAGGCAGATTGTAAAACGAATTTTTGGAAACAAGATGATGGATGGATTAGTTAGAGGTCCATTCTCCACACATGACACATTTGTATATGAATCGATTTTCCAATTGCTTTTCATTAACTATGATGCTCAACACCCCAAGTTAACCGTGATGCACTAATTAACCCTCAGATTTTCCTTATGTCATTGAATTGGATGATGCATGCGACAATTCAAATTATTCTCCAACGGTCCTCAATATGAATGCATAAAAGAGATACAGTGAGAGATCATTATGCTCTATGAAAATCATAAGTGTTGACGAGGCAATTGTAACTATGAATGCATGATACTCTTGCCAAGAATTCAATTAACGCGGTTGTGACTAGCAACCTTCATTACTCATGTTTATAAACTTGTGACGATTAGGTGAAACTCGTTTATAAACTAGCATCGAGTTCATGCATGAAAACTAGGTATGCATCCTTAATCAACATACAAGAACAAGTTTTGAATAAAACAGATAATTGAATTGCAATCACAACTTAACAAATCACAAT